CCTGCAGCCATCAGCTTCAGCCCCTGCTGAAGACTTCCAGCCTCCCTTTCCTGATGGCCAGCCCTACAGATTTTGGACTTCCCTAGTCAGCCCCCACAACTGTGTAAGGCAATTCCTTGTCAGATATTATAGGTATCTTCTACTCTTCCTGCAAGCGCGTAGTGCTCCTAGGATACTGCATTCTTTTTTTTAATGATTACATTAACAATTTAAGAAACAATTACCATGGCAATCCCAAATTTTCCCTTAAAGTCTAATTCAGGTCAAACCTCCCCACCCCTAGACAAACAAACAAACACATAAACCCTGAGGTTCAGGAAGTTATATTTTAGTGGGTTAGGATCAATGTAAGCAACAATAAAAAATATAGAAATGAGGATATATCACGTGTGGAATAAAAGAAATGGAAGCCATGGTGAAGGTCAAAGCATGAAATATACTTCAAAGACAGTCTTAAAGCTATTTACTATCCCCTACTCCTAAATTCACAGGGGATTTCCAGGCATCAGGAACTATCAACTCCAGTGTTAGCTTGAAGGACAGAAAAATTCTGAGCAGAGGCCAACTGGACATACTTCCTTTTCCCTAGGACCATTTCAATACTTTGAAAATTTTAATCTGCAGACACAGGGTGAAGGACACAAATATTATTTGGGTATTGTGGTGAACTAGGAATAATAGTAAGATTATGACCAGTTTTTGCCCATCTTAAAATTTACATTTTACTGAATTTAGCACTGGGTCTAGAGAAGGGATAATCACTTAATTTTGGCAAGTCCCAAAACATATATATGTATTTTGATTTTATGTGAGGCTCAAAAATGTTATTTATATTATAGAGCTGACATCTGACCTTACTGAATTGAATTGAATAATGGTTCAAGGAAACTTGTGATTGTTACCACAATGAGATTTAATCTAACTTTTCCAGGTGATAAAATCAATCACTTAGGTAGAAGTTATTGTCATGTGGCATAAATAACTTATTCATTTTCTGTAATCATCTTTGTGATATTAAGCAGCTTCATCAATAGTTACATTCATACTGTTTATCATACATTGACCTCTACCATAAGAAATGGTACATTATTTTTTTGTAGTGAATCTATGTTACAGTACTTACTTAAGTTCTCTACTGAGAACTAAATTAATTCTGTCCTTTAAAGGTCGATTCTTCTTGGGAATGGAGAACCAGGTCTTCCTACCCATAATCACCAAATTCCTTTTACCTACAAAATCGCATAAAGAATAGGTATATTTTGGTAATATACATATATATTTTCATATATTTGTATGTATACACAATTGTCATATTGACATCTAGTGGCTCTGCTTTAAAAAAATTAAAATTTAAAACAGCTTTACCAAAATTTACCATTAATCACCCTTTAGCTAAATAATGAAGACTTAGAACAATGTTTGATATCTAAAAAGTACTGTTTAACTATTTAATAGTATTATTCATATTTATATTAACAGTCATACTTTTAAAGATAATTGCTGAATGTTACACTTAATTAGCTTAACATACTTTCAATTTGTGCCTCTTTCCTTAAAAACTTTATAAACATAGCTTCCATTTTTGGTTTGATTATTTAGGAGAAAAAGATTTGAGATATCTGGATCAAAGAAACATATACATTTCTGATTGTTGGTATGTTCTAACTAACAAAATGAGAGCATGTGTTTGTTTTCTTGAAGAATTATTAACTTGATTTTATTTAATCAAAAAACTAATATTTACAAACTGCAAGGAGTAAGACTAAGCATTCTCTCATATTTTGCTTCCTATTACCAGACTACTTAGGATTCTATGGAGTGGTTCATGTCAATTCTTTAGCTTCAAGCTCTTGCCATCTTGTCTTTATCAGTAACCCAAGTGTCAAGTCCAAGGACCTTGTATCCGTCCTGTTAGAAAGTTATGCTGCACACGCTCCTTTCTGTTTTCCCTGTTTACTCTGCTATTTCTCCTCCTACAACCAAATATACATATCTTAGGTTTTAAATGGGTATCCCGTTACCCCATATTCTTTTCCTTGGTTATCCTCTTCTCTCCAATGTCTCCAATTCACTTAGTACTATTGCCTGAATATCTTACAGGTACCTCACAATTGTTACAATTGCACATTATTCTCCACTCCTTTATTCTCCATATCACCAAGACTCTTAAAATGAAATCCTGAGAGTTCATCCTTGACGCCTTCCTGCATCACCTTTAACTTCTTGATATCCAAATCGAGATCAAGGACTTATATCTTCTCCACTCTTATCTTCCAGCGGCTATTCCAAGGGTCTCCTCTAGTCACCCAGCCGTGTCAGCCTCTCCCTAGCTGCCAGTTCTGCTCAATACCTCAATTGTATACGCGCCCATATAAAATTTCAAAGATCGCCAAAAAAAGTTTAATAAACCTTGGGAACTGCATACAGATCAATAGTAAGACAAAAGGTCCCAGGTTAATGTAGAAAACTTTTCGTTTAAGTAAAATCTGGACTGGTAAGCTTACTCAAGCAACACACTTCGCGAACCTCAATCACCTAAAAATCCCACATTACCTTCTGAAGAGGTTGTGGTCATTCTTTGGAAATACTTGAATTCATTCCTACAAGTTAGAGAAACAGTTACTCAGAACGTTATCGTGTGGATTCAGGCTCTAACCATCAGACAAACGGTGTGCTTGGGGTCTCTAGGACTGGGACTTTGCTCTGAGGGTGCCGCGGGAGAAATGCCTCGCGTGGCAGCAGGAGCCGGACACAAGTCAATAACTTGGTCTCTCGGTTTCTGCGGCGGCGGAAGCTCAGGTCCAGCTCCTGCTGGCTTAGGTCGCAAGTCCAACCCCACTCTCGCGCGGAGGGTCGGCCCAGCGCAGCCCCGTCTCTACGCCCCGATCAAGGGCAGCTAGTGCCAACCCTGTCCACTCACGCCCAACCCGCCCGGGCCCGGCAGGTACCTGAGCGGGGGCCAGGGCAGGTCTCCGTTCTTGCCGATGCCCATGTTCTGGGACACAGCGACGATGCAGTTTAGCGAACGAACCATGACGGCGACAGTAAAAACCCGAGTTCGCGGGCAACACCAGAACTCCCGGTTAAATTTGGCGCGCAATTGTGGCCGTCCCACCCCGGCGATTCCATTTGTGCAGGCGACACCCCGCCCCCGGCCCGCTCTCCACCCCGGCGCACGTCTGGGTCGCGACGTGCTCGCCCCCGCACACACGAGAACAGCGGCTGCGGGCTCGCGCCCCCGGCTCGGCCCGGTCTCTGGGCTGTCACTCCGTTTGCTGAGATGCCGCGCCGGAAGCCGGCCCATGGCGGCTTCGCTTCTGCTGGCCCAGCTCCTGCAAGGCAAGCGGTTTTGAGCAGATTCTTCCACGCTACAGGAAGCCTGAAATCCACCTCCTCCCCAGCGGGTGCGGCGGAGAAGACGGACCCTGACTCCGACTCCGCAGCGCCCCTCGCGTCCACTTTCCCGCCTCCGTCGCTGCCACGGTTGGTGAGTTTCGTTCAGGACGGGGCGGGGTCATCGGGGAGAGGGGGAGGGGCAAGGTGAAAAAAAAGAGGGGCGGGTAGGTGGGCGGGGACGGCGCTTGTGGGTGGAGCGGGAGGAGGCGGGGCCCGTGCGAGAATCAGCCCCGAGGCGGTGCTGGAAGAGAAAGTGGCGGGCTTCGGGACCGTGAAGGCGGGAAAGCTAGCCCTCCATCTTAAGTGTAATTCAAAGATTGTAGTTTCCCCTTGGGGTAATAGACTAGAGGCCAAGATCACACAGGTTCGTGATGACAGACTAGAGACTAGAAGTCTTTCTGATGAGGTTAGGGGCCTGTGGGCAAAGAATACAACTTTAACCAATGTCTTCCCACCCTTCCCAAGCCCCGCTGAAGTTTGAAGAGGAGCTTTATTTTATTTGTATGGATTCTGTTAGGCGACGAGACAAAAACTGCTGTTAAATCTCTGGTTTTTAAGGCTGCAAAAGCATTGTTCACCATTTCAACCCACTACCGGTAAATGCAGTCATATTGTGTAGTTTCCCAGTGACTACATCTCTTGTAGTTCATATTGTAAAGTCCGTTATACAGTTAGGGTGGATAAAGTTTCTTAAGACGGTACAGTTGTGATGGTTTAGTCATTCGATCCTTCCTGTTGCTTGCCACCCTTCAACTGAGTAAATAAGTAGTAGTGTGTGCGTCCTCGCCCTCTCGCCAGAGACACTGCCACAGGGAAAAGCCTAGTATGGTATTTCTCAAACTGAGGATGTTGAAAGGGTTTGCATATTGGCGTTTAGCCACCCTATAAGTTTTAATGTGGATGACAGGTTGGCTACTTCAAAACCTTTTTTCTTTAATTTATATTTCTTCTGTAGAGTTATTGCTCCTCTCCTGTTTCTATTTTTTGACCATAGTCAAAATTCAGAATTTTGACTATGAATTCACCAAGATTTTATTTTATAGCCACCGTTTCGCGGATATTTGGTGAAAGACTTAAGTTTTTGATGGGCTTCCTGCCAACAAATATTCATAACCTTATGGCATCTTAAAGGGGTGAACAGAAAACATAAATTACAGTTAACATCCCCAAAATGATGTTCTTTTTATTGTCTAATTTCACCTTTTATAAGTATTTTTTTTCTTAAAGCTATTTTATTTAACGTATGTAAGTAGGGTAATTCAAGTTGATTGTAAAGAAAGGTGGCCGTCTTGGTTCTAATTAATTATAGCAGGGTTGGAGATGCTGAGGCTTGTGACTTGCCAGTCTCCACCTTGATTTTGATGATGGTAAAAACCTTCATCCATAGGTCTTTTCAGAGCTCGGAGTTCATGATTCTAGGAAGGGTGGATGCTAGGACCTCGCCGTCATTCAAAAGTAAGGTTTAAATTATTTTGCATTCATCAGATTTTGAGATTAGAGATAACACATCATTTTTTAACCCTCCTGATATAGGTTGCAGAAACTGACAGAAGTAAAAAGAGACCACTAGAGAATGATGGGCCCTTTAAAAAGAAAGCAAAGAAAGCCCACGAAAAGGATGGACAAAGTGATTCAGTAATGTCTAGGAACCCTGGTGAGTTCTCTGGCAATGATTTTTCATTCTCTCTGGCAATGATTTTTCATTCTCTCCAGTCATGGCTCTGATATTCTTAGATTATCCAGAGGGCAGAGGAAGATATGAGAGAGTAGTGCCATTTTTTTTCCTTTGCGGAAAAGGCCTCTATTGTGCTTGAGTGGAGAGGCCCCTCCAAAAGTGGTGGTGGTGTGTATAGGAGGTTGGGGGAGAGGAGGTAAGATCTGGAGTTTTGCAACTTGGCTGTAGTTGCCCAGTTTTCTGTTTTACTCCTACTAGCTAATTTTTGTCCTGATTATTAAGGTGAAACATATTTATTGTAAAAATTTCAAACAATACAGAAATGTGTCAGGTAGACAGTGAAAGACCCCATAATCCCTCCCTTTCACTGAGGCCTACTGCTAATGTTGGGGGGTACTGTATATTTCAGGGATCTTATTTACACACACATAGACCTACAAATTAGTTAATATTTTATAAGTTATGCTATATATACTAATTTGCAACTATATTTTCCACTTAGCTGAACATTTTGAATAGTTTTCAATGTCAGGATGTGTAAATCTACCCTGTCCATTTTTTTTGGTAAATTTTATTTATTTATATAATTTTTTAAAATTGTAACTGGTTAATGAAATCTAGTAAGTTTCAGGTGTACAATTCAACAATAAGGCATATATATTTTGCATTGTGTGTTCATAGCCCATAGTTAGATTTCTGTCACCACATTTTTGACCCCTTTCATCCCATCTACCTTCTCTGTCCACCCCTATCCACTGGTAACCTCCATTTTTTTTTTTTTTTTAATATGGAGCTGCTTTTTCTGTGTGCTGAAAGGTTTTGGATAAAACCATCATTCCTGAGCAACTAGACTTCTAGAGGTGGTGTTGGATATATAGATGGCTGAGCAGAGTTTTCTCTAGTTTTTGGCCTTAGGGAATTTGTGATAAGGGAATACAGAAAATGCTTTTTTCTTCATTATTTACATACTCGAACTGATGTAAGCCTTTCTGAACTGACAGCAGCTCAGGAATGAAGCTTCATGGTGGAATCTTCCTTGGCAGTGGTGGGAGTAGGGCCATGAAGGAAGGTGAGGAAGAGGGCTTGAAAGTAAGCCTTCAGGGGATCTCACCACCCAGAGTCCTTGTCCTTAGGTCCTCATTGCTCCAGACCTGGCCAAATGAACTCTGAAGTTTGTGGAAATAAGGCCAGAGACATGTAAGTTTTTGAAATATGAACTTTACAGTTTACTTAAAACAGTAATGGGAAGAATAGAGAGGAGCGTCCACCAGGCATAGGAGTCACTGGCTACTTCAGCTCAGTTTTTGACGTCAGTTTTAGATATTCTTTCTTTGCATAAATACATTCCCAAGATTTGCACCCCACCCCCATCCTGGGAAAGTATTTTTGTAACCATGGGAAGGAAGTCCTTGCATAATACACAAACTTATAGTATACTTTTGAACAGCGATTCAAATATACATTTGAAAGGGGGAGAGTAATAGTACAGAGGGTGAATATGTACGTTTGAAGAGATTCAAATATACGTTTTCTAGCTATGAGATTAACAGGAGACAAGATATATATCCAAAAAGAGGTTTAACTGCAAATATGAACAGTTTTAAACTTTTTTAAATGATCAAAACACAATTCTTGCCCCCAGAATGTTTTTGCTTTGAAAGGGAAAGTAAGAGATGATAAGTGCAGTCCCATTTCCTTATATTTAGTAGTAGCTAAATTATAGTTTAGTCTAAAGGGTAAAAATATATTCTGGCATATAGTAAATATCTAATAAATGACAGTTTCCTTTCTATGGATTCCTTGCTTATAAATAACTGCAGACTGTGATATGTGCTATAGAGAGATATGACATTGTTATAGGAGCACAGAGAAAGAAAAGCTGGGGAACTGGAGAGTTTCATGGGAAAAGTAGTGTTGAGATGGGTCTTGACAAATGAGTACAATTTTGACATGTGGAAATTGGGGGCAGGGGTATTCTAGGAAGAAAGACTGGCATGAGCAAAGGGGTGGAAGCAGGAAAGCAGGTGTATCTGGGGTGGTGATCTGGTTTCCTTGGTCCACCCTGGTGTCAGTATCTTTAAGTTTTTCCCAGTCCAAAGTCTTCCCAGCTTCTGCCAAGAGGACAGAGAACTGTGGTCTGGGAGCTGGTGAGAAGTGGCTCATTTTCTCATTATGTGGTAAGCTTGTATTCCTGTTAGTATTCTTCTGGCTTAGGCACAGTACTGCACCTTAGCTGTGCCTGTTCTGCCTTTTTACGGGATATCCCTAGCCCTCTGTTGATGTGGAGAAAGGACAAATGTCTTTGAGTGTTGAGTGGGATAGAGGTTTAGGGATCAAATTGCTCTGAAACAATCCTCTTTATTTTAGAACCTCCCTTAATTCCATTTTCAGAGGTACTGGCACCCTAATTCTTGAGCCTTTAAAGCATTTTGTATTGTAAATAGGATTGGTTCTTGGTTTTCTCACTACTGACTTAGGATTTTGCTTTCAGGTATTGCTAAATTGGTAATTGCTCATTGGTTTTTCCTTCTAGCTTCAGATATTATTACCTCTTTTTATCTCTGCCCTTATGGGCTTATATCTAAAAAGAAAAAAAAAAGAGCAAGGAGTTTCAGGACCAAGTGAAATTAGATATATGTTTGTTTCAATATGCCATCCATAACCTCCGCCCAGTGTTTCTTTATTCCCTTGTTAGGTTGATCCCTTTAGTGAGAAGCTTTCTCTTTAAAAAGCTTATGCTGGTTATGCATTGACATAACAAGACAAAATACTATATTGTATTTTCTTCTGATTTGCCTAACTAAGAGCCAAAGAGAAGTCTGAGGACCAAGATTGTTTTAAAGTCTCTGGAAAAGTTGAAAGAATTCTACTGCGATTCCGCCCTTCCTCAAAATAGAGTCCAGAGAGAGCCTCTTCAGGAGGGATTTGCGGTTCTGCCAAAATGTACTGATTTTGACGATATCAGTCTTCTGCGTGCAAAGAATGCAATTTCTTCTGAAGATTCCAAATCTCAAACTAGTCAAAAGGTATGTTAACAGTTATATAAATGAATATCTATCTACCCAGAATAGTATTAAGTTCTGTGGGTCCACGCAGGGCATGGTTCCCAAACTTGGCTGATCATGTGAATTGGTTTGTATTAAGACAAAACAAGGCAAAGCCTCAGGTGATTCTGATCTACAGCCTGGGTCAGGAGCCATTGACTTTCAGGGATTCTTTGTTGATAATTAATACAAGCACAATTTCTTCTAGTCCTCCTTAAAGTT